CTTTCTGACCTTCACTATACTTCTGCATCAACACACTCAAAGCAAACATCACATCTGCACTGCTCTTTTTCAGTGAGAAGCCATACTGCTGCTCATGGATCATCACCTCTCTTCTTAACCTACTTTCAACAACTCTTTCTTGGTGTGTCTCAGCTTTATCGCTCTGTAGTTACTACAGCTCTGCATATCACCCTTGGTCTTGAAAACTGGTACCAGTACACTTATTCATTCCTCACTCTCCAAACTTGTGTTAAACAATCTGGTTAAAAAGTCCTTTCTCCTCAACATCTCTATACAACCACATATATGTCATGTGGACCAACTGCCTTTCCTCTCTTCATAGCTGCCTTCACGTCCTCCTTACTTATCCCCTGCGCTTCCTGATTCACTAACTTTCCTCCATCTGTCCTCAGTTTCTGTCTTCATTAATGTCTTCATTAATGAAGACAATGAGAGAATACTTCTATCTTCCATCTTCTCAACACACTCTCTTCACCATCTTTATCCTTAATCACTCTAACCTGCTGCACATCCTTTTCAGCTCAATCTCTGTCTAGCTAATTGACACAAGTACTGTTCTCCTTCCTTAGTGCCCAGCCTCACATACAACTCAGTATAAGCTTTTTCCTTTTCCACCTCTATCTTTGCAGTAGGCCTGGCCTCCCAGTATTCCTGTCTACTTTCTCCATCTCCCTGACTATCGCACTTTCTCTTAGCTATTCCTTTGAGGAACTACAGGAAAGTGTCCAATCCACCACCAAGTCTCCTTGTCCTCTTTTCTCTCTCTCCAAAAAATACACCAAACACCTTCTTTGCCTTTCTCTTACCATTTCAGTTGTATTTTTCCAGTCATCTGGTAACTCTTCCCTTCCACCCAGAGAATGTCTACTCCTCCCTGAACTAACAACTGCACAACATTCTTCCTTCTTCAGCTTCCACCATTTAGTTCTTGTCTCTGCCTTCACTCTCTTCCTCTTCTTGACGTCCAAAGTCATCCTACAGACTAGTGTCCAATGCTGCATGGCTACATTCTCTCCTGACACCACCTTGCAGTCTCCTATCTCTTACACACTGACCCTTCTGTTTAGGATGTAAGCCACCTGTGTACACTTTCTTCCACTCTTCTACGTCACCTTATGTTCCTCCTTCTTCTTGAAGTATGAGTTCACCCCAGCCATTTCCATCTTCCTAATTTTGACCTTCTGCATTTCTCTGCTTAACACCATACCTATCTAACACCTCCTCATTATCTCTCTTTCCTTCACCTACATGGCTACTGAAGTCTGCTCCAATCAACACTCTCTACCACTTTATCAAACTAACTGCAGAATTCCTCTTTCTCTTCTAACTGACATCCAACCTTCAACCTGGTCTCCTGCACACATAGTAAATCTACCTTCCTTCTCTCCATTCATATCAGCCAGCTCTCTCCCTTTGCCAGTCATAGTACCTCCACGCTCCTGCCTGTCCTTCTCTTTGACTCCTAACACGCTTCTCCCCTTTCCTCTTCCTTTGTCTTCGAATAGTAGCACAGTTTCCATCGGCTCTCTGTTGGCCAATAGCACAGGAGGCAGTAATTGTTAACCCAGGTACCGACTGATCCGATATGGAAATACACCAGATGCCATTCCTGTAACAGCCCTCTCTGTTTATCTGGGCTTCGGAGTACACTCCCAACTCCACCCCCCATACACTATCATTCAAAAATTTGGACACCTTTTGACTTAATGTTTGTCTGTTTTTTACTACTTTCTACATTGTACATACAAACTGAAGACATGAAATATATGAAGCAATATATATGGAATTATATATCAAAGAGATAGCTGATGTATAACGCTAAATGTTTTATATTTTAGATTCCACCCTTTGCTTTGTTGACAACGCTGCAAACCTTTGGCCTTCTCTCAGTGAGCTTCATGATGTAGTCATCTGAAATGGTTTCACCTCACAGGTGTGCCTTGTCAGGGTTCATTTGTGGAATTTCTTTCTGTCTTTATGGGGTTGGGACCACAAGTTGTGTTGTCCAGAAGTCAGGTTGGTGCACAGCTGACAGCCCTATTTGACTACTGTTAAAATTCATATTATGGCAACAACCAATCAGTTAAGTAAAGAGAAACTACAGTCCATCATTACTTTAAAAACTGAAGGTCAGTCAATCTGGAAAAATGCTAAAACTTTGAATGTGTCCCCCAAGTGCAGTCGCACAAAACATCAAGCACTACGACAAAACTGTCTCACATGAGGCCCGCCCCAGGAAAGGAAGAGCAAGAGTCCCCTCTGCTGCTGAGGATACATTTATCACCAGAATCACAAGGAATGGACATCTGACCAGTGGACATCTGTGCTTTGGTCTGATGAGTCCAAATTTGAGAACTTTGGTAGTAATCAAATCAAAGAGTGGCTACTTCGAAGAATCTAAAATATAAAACAAAATTTGATCATCATTAATGAAACTTTGAAATATCTGGCTTTTCCGTCAGAGCAGATGAAATACATATTTTGCATTAAATTGAATCATTTGGCCTCCAGAAGGGCTCACCCTGAGTCCATTGTCTTACTTCATTGTGAAGTTATGATAAATAGCCTGATAAATAGCCTGATAACATAGCGAGTACTGAGGATGAGTTTATGGTGATTTAAAATGTGCCTCAAGGATGAGAAGTGCAGAATATTGTGCTACACTCTGCTCCCAACTTCACTGATGCCCTGCACCTCCCCCATACCCCAATAGCTGCTGCAGTGGGGGAGGGGCAGGCCAGTATTTTCAGCACTTTGGCTGTTCTGAAGGCAAAAGAGAGTCCAAACCAGGACTAGCAAGGTGTGCCTAATGCAGTGACCGTTTAGAGTGTGTGTAAAAAATCAAAAGAAATATATATATATTTAAAATAGATATGGTAATGGTTCTTAGTTCTTTTTGACTACTGATAAGCATTAAGTCAATTTAGACTGTAAGGCTAAATGTTACTTTAGATTAATTTTATTATGCTGTTTCATTATGTGTTTAAACTGTAGTAAAAGCAATGTCAGGCTTCCTTTATTTTATATAATGTACAATGTAAATCAGGTTTCAGAGTGAGAGCTGAGAAGTAGAGAATACTTTGGCTCTCTGCAATTCCTCTTTAAGATATCATGACCCATCAGTGACCCGCCCCTCCCCCCGCGCACCTGCACTGCGCTCTCAAACTTTTGCAGGGCATTGCTTGCATCTCAATCATTCAGTCAACGGACGGAGAAGCTGCATAATTAAACTGGTGATTGCAAGATTTAAATCAAAGTTTCGGCAGGTAAGATTTCACATTTTGTCTTTATGAAAACTGCAAATTTTTTTAAATGAAATGAAACAAAAAAAAAAGGTATCTTACGTCAGGTTTAATTTTTTCAACTTGAACGATGCATGAAGTTCGTCTCAGTTAATAGCAGCTTGCTAGCAAGCAAACTGATAATTACACAACTTCAAATTAAAAGAAAAGAAATTCAGCAGCATGGGATATTTTTGGCAAATTTGATGTTTTTGGGGGTGCTGAATCCAAAACTGGTGTCCTTTTCCCTTAATCACGGACATTTATTTAAGGAGGAGTTTCCATTTCAAAAAAGCACAACAGCGTTGAAAAATATTAGTAGCTGTGTCCAAATTCATGGGCTGCATCTTCCTGAGGACCCGGCCTTCGCGGTCTACGTTGCCCGTGTCCTCAGGAGGTCGGGTCGGCCGGAAGTAAACGGCCGTGAAATTGGACGGTCTAGTCTTCAGATTAGCGTCGCCGCTGTCTCGGTGGAGTTTAATAAACTCAGCCGTCTGCTTCTTGCTATCTAAAATATAACAGGACACTGGCGTAAATTCTCGACTGTCTCATACTTCCGTTTAATCTGTTTTCTGTTTGACGTTTAGTCAGCTGTGTAAAAACCAAGGAGGAACCCACCCGGGAGATTAATAAAGTTTTATTTTATCTAATCTAATAACTTTAATCTCAGCTAAACCGATTTACTCGCTAACAAATAAAACACTGAAAAAAACCCCAAACATTAACATTTAGAAGTGATCTAAGTGACTTATATATCATGTTTAACCTCAGTAGCGAAATCTCTATTAATAAGAATAGTGTACACGTATGCCCTAATAAAAAGAAGCAGGTGAGATGTTAGAACGCTTTTATTTTTATTTTAGTGTACACTCAATACAATAGACAGCTGCTGGGTTTTGGGGTTTGTTTAACCTGAGTAGCGAAAAGATCGCGGGGGGGGGGGGGGGGGGTGAAAACGATGTGCCGGGAGTCCGCTGTTCTCGCCAGCTCTAGTGATCCTCGACCTCGCTGTCTGCTATGGAGCTGGCGGGTCACAGACGTCTCCGAAAATGTTGGAGCACGTTTGGAAATATATGGTATGTGCAGGTCATAGTTTGTACATCAGGTTCACCTGCATGAGAGCTCACTGTTAAGCAAAATGTAGCCTTATTGAGGTGAGCTTCAGTAAATAAATGAAAAGGAAAAAGGAGGTGGAAATGGTGGAAAGCACAGTGTAGTCCAGTTATATGTTAGAGATGGGTAATGGGCTGCATTAAATGAACTGCTTTTCCTGCTTGCTGAAGACTAAGAAAAATGTTGGTGCAGTTGTGCTGTATCACCTCTAAGCCGTTATTACGTAAATGTAACTGAGAAGTAACTTTGGATTTTGTCTTTGGTATTAGGTTGAAAAAGCCATGGCAGCAAGCCAAACACAGGTATGTGCCTTTTTTATCAAATATTTGAACAAGTAGTCTTTAATAATTGTTACTGAATCGTATGCAGGAATGTTAAAGTCAAACAGCATATTTTTTATCTTTTTTTAAACATGATGAACACATCATCTGGTTGGAAGCAGGTTAGATTCAGAGTTTCTGTTTAAAATAGACTGGAAGCCCCCGTTTTCACTGATTCTTTTATTTACAGCATATTTTAAGTGTGATATAGATTCTCTGCTGTGGGAATACGTTTTAGATGTGCCACCTTTTAAGCGTCACCTTTCTAAACTCGAGCACTACAGTTAACAGGTGAATTCTTATGTTTCAGTACAGCTAGCAAACAATGACAAAGCACTTCGAGACTAAAAGTGAAAGTTGACAGTCTTAACTTGGTTTTTAACATAAACTCATTGCTGCAGCCAGGGTTACAAAGTGATCCCTCTTAGACTTCCTTTTATTTTTAGTTATTCTTTCTGTCCCTAGTTAGCTAACATAAACTAATGTAGGGTAGAACTGTTATCAGCATCCATCCAACCAACCAACCCAGTGACCTCATAGTCTGAACTCAGCCAAGATGGAAATAAACATGCTGTAAACGCTTGTTTTTTTATAACGAGCTTCACTGACAGTGTTCAATCGGAGATTTTTTTTTTTTTAAGAGTGGGCCTCCATAGTGTCATCTAGCCTTAATGTATGTAGTGTTTCAGGTCAGCTTTAACCTTGAACATTGGATATGTATCCAGAAATGTGATGTCTTTTCAAATACATTTCTAGATGTTATTTCTATCTCAAACAGTATTTGAGTGTATCTTCTTAGCAGCTTTTCTTATACAATAACTTTGTGGAATGAAAACAAAAAGTCATGTTTGTTATATGCCACTAGTTTGACTTAAAAAAAAAAAAGTAGTTTACATGCAATAAAGGGTGTCAGCATACGGTAGTAATCAGTCTCATTTTAGTTCATTATTCTTTTACAGCCTCATGTCTATAAAAGAAGGGATGCAGTGTAGAATGTAAATCAAAACTGAATTCAATGTTTTTCAAATCTCATAAACCCACATTTTATTAACAGTAAGACATGTAAAACATTTCAATTGAAACTGAGAAATTGTTCCATTTTAAGAAAATTATGGGATCATTTTGAATGTGATGGTAGTACCATGTCTCAGAAAAGTTAAGACAGGGCCTTGTTTCCCACTGTGAATTTTCTCTTTTCGTTTTTACAACATTGTAAACATCGGGGATCTGAGGAGACCAGTTGCTGGACTTTAAGGAGAGCAATGTTGTCACATTCTTGTCTGACGTAAGATTTTACCTGCTTAACAGCCCTGGGCCGCCTTTGTCGCATTTTTCGTTTCATGATGCTCCAAATGTTATGAGTAGGTGAACGGTTTTGACTGCAGGCTGGTTATTTCAGCACTCAGAGTATTGGAGTATGACACAATGCCATTATAATACATGCACTATGCGATTTACAATTGTTTTCCTGAAATATCCAAGGCCTTCCCTGAAAAAGATGATGTTTAGATTAGAGATGGACCGATCCGATGTTACGTATCGGTATCGGTCCGATACTGATGTAAATTACTGGATCGGATATCGGAGAGAAATAAAAAATGTAATCCGATCCATTAAATATCAAAAAAGCATCTCACAAAACTTGCGACACGGCGTAACTCAGCTCATAACTGTAGCACGTCGGAGCAGTGTGCGTCACGTGATAGAGCGGCTGTGTCCGGCATTTCATCTCCGAGGAAGTGATCCCAGAGAGAAGTAAAGCAAGTGTTTAAGTTCATCTCTGAATGTTTGTAAAGCATTCCCACATTAAGCTTAACAACCGATATATGGAGCGACTGCCTCTCTCTCTCTCCTGCTGCTACTTCAATCATGAAACTGATCAATGATCAGCTGATTGGCTTTTCTGTGGCAAGTCCGTCTCTCTCGTTTGTTTTTGGCCCACTTTGCACCAGAAAGAGGAAACCAGCGGCTGAATAACAGAAGCACGTTTAAGCTTGATAATCTGTTGTTAGAATTTATTTAATATTACTTTCTAGACCAGGATTCTTTTCTACGTAGCTGACCGCTGGTAACTGTGCAGGGGCGAATCTAGCAAAGTTTAGCCAGGGGGCCGATAGGGCATGAACAGGGAAAAGGGGGCACAAAGACATACTTTTCTTTCTTATTCTCATTTAAAATGTCGAGCTTTTAATAAATATCTGAATCTTACACCCAAAGTTTTAATCTGATGTAAAATATATAGAAGTCCATTACTTTATAACTAACAATAACTATTAAGTTATATAGTTATAGTTATTAAGTAACTATTAAGTCTAATATACCCTAGTAAGCTATAGTACTTTTTCCTTTGGGAACCATCTGTGCAGTCTGCAATTCTGTTGAAGAAAGATGTTGAATCTATTTAATATTTCTTGAAAAATAATTTATTTCTGTGCATTTTATTTCACACTGCATCAAATTAAAGTTGATTACATCGATTAAGCATCATGAGGTGGAGGGTGAGGGGTGGTTCTCTAAAATAAATATATATATATATATATATATATATATATATATATATATATTATTATTTTTTATTTTTTATTTTTTTTTTTGCTCCTGTTAGTTAGGTTGCTTAATATTTCTGCTAAGTACTCTTTAAAATACCAGAATAGGGAGGATGGTGCAGGTTTAACTTTATTAGATTGATCAGTTTTGCTGAACTATGAAATATTTTGTATTTTTTACGTACAGGTATAACAGAATAGCTTTAGTGTTGTTGTTTATTTAAACTTGAGTATGAACTTATACAAAATGCAGCAAGATATTTAAAAAAAAAAACTTTTATTGATTAAAAAAACACTATCTGATTCATATTGGTATTGGCAGATATCCAAATTTATGATATCGTTATCAGACATAAAAAAGTGGTATCGTGCCATCTCTAGTTTAGATGGGAGCATATGTTGCTCTATAACCTGTATTTTCTTTCGGCACTAACGATGCGTTTCCACATTTGTATGCTACTAGCTCCATAGGCACTAATGCACCCCCATACACTAAGATGTGGGCTTTGAAAAACATTGCGTTCTATTTTAACTTGCATTTTACACAGCGTCTCAACTTTTGGAAGATAGTTTTACAGCTTTATTACATAACTCTATCCTTATAATTGACTTCTTCTCATGATGATTATTCTCTTTACCTATTCAGGAGGAGAGTGATTGCTCTGAGCTGGATTTCTCCATTTGTTCAGGCTCTGAATACGTGCCAAGTCAAATTTCAGACTTAAGTGATGAGGACAACCACAGTCTACAAAGTAAGACACTAAAGATCACTGATGTTTCTAGCGACAGTGATAATGAAGAACTGAGAAACATGACTCTTAAAAAGACACCCAGAACATATGGGAAAAGAAAGAGAAATGATCATAAGGCACAAGAGAAGGCTAAACGGACTAAACGGAAATCAGAAGTGACTGTAAAAACATGTACAAAAAGGGAGGACAACAAACGAGTATGGGACAAAAAACATTATTGTCTTTACTGTGGGAAGTCCCAAGCAAAAATATCGAGACACCTGGAGAGGAATCACATAGAGATAAGTGATGTGGCATATGCCTTTAGCTACCCTGTTGGTTCCAAAGAAAGGAAGGATCTTCTAGAACAACTTCGCAATAAAGGTGACTTTAAGCACAACACCAAAGTGATACAAAAAGGCAGAGGACAAGTCGTAACATGGAAGCAGCCATCTAATAAAACCATAGCAGGAGAATATTTACCTTGCCCTTATTGCTTTGCAATGTATATCAAAAAGACATTATGGAAACATGCGCTGTCATGCAAAAGTAAAAAACTGTGTGCGTCAAAAACTAGACATCCTAGAGTACAGGGTTACGCTGCACGCCTGCTTCCAATAAAACATTCATCTAAAGGATGTCAGACTATTATTGACAACATGCGACAAGATCAAGTGTCCTTTCACATCAGGAGTGATTCTCTGATTTGCAAATATGGAGAATCGCTATATGCAAGACATGGCCGTGTGAAGTCTAAGCACCAATATATTGCGCAAAGGATGAGGGAGCTTGGCCGTCTCATATTAGCTGCAAAAAATATGGACAGGACAGTGAATGTACTTGAAGATTTGTGCAAACCATCAAAATTCCAGTTTGTTGTCAGTGTTGCCAAGCATCTTGCAAACTTTAGTCCAGGCAAAAATGAATATGGCAAACCGTCAACAGCAGTCAAAATTGGATTTTGTCTTAAAGGCGCAGTCGAGGTACTGATTGGACAGACTCTTATGAATGATGATGACTATGCAGAGAAGAAGGCCAAAAAATTCTTGGAACTTCTGGACAAAAACTGGAGGAACAGTGTATCTGTCAGTGCTCACCAAACAATACAAGAAAAGAGGTGGAATAAACCGGATGACATTCCCCTCACCAAAAATGTGATTGCTCTGAGGGACCATCTCCGTACCGTGGAAGGTGAAGCAAGAGAGAGTCTAATGCAGCACATGGATTTGGCAGCATACAAGGCACTGAATGAGACTGTTTTGGCACAGGTTATTGTCTTTAACAAGCGACGTGAAGGGGAAGCATCACGCTTGACTCTTCAGACCTACAAGAACGTAAAAACAAGTCCCATTAATGAAGACATTTACGAAACCTTGTCACCATTAGAAAAAGAGCTAAGCAAGCTATTAACCCGCATTGAAATCAGGGGGAAGAGAGGCAGGAAAGTGCCAGTTTTTTTGAGCGACAGAATGAAGGAGTCAATCGATTTGTTGGTGAAAAACAGAGAAGCAGCTGGTGTACCTGCTGAAAACCCCTATCTCTTTGCTAGACCTGGTGGGATGACACACATACGTGGATGTGACTGCCTACGAAAATATGCAAACCAAAGCAAAGCAGAAAACCCTGAGCTTCTGAGGTCAACTAAATTAAGAAAACAAGTTGCCACACTTTGCCAACTCCTCGATCTTAATGATCAAGAGCTCGAGCAAGTTGCAAGATTCATGGGACATGACATCAGAGTTCACCAGGACTTTTACAGACAGACAGACAAAACCTTTCAAATTGCCAAGATAAGCAAGCTTCTGTTTGCAATGGAGGGAGGCGCTGGCACCTTAAGGGGCAAGAACCTCAGCACCCTGGAGGTTTCTGTTGCTGGTATGTATGATAGAGTATTTCTTTTTTTCCACTGTCCTGCTATATTGAATTGCAAATGGTATTGTGTGGTCAAATAGTTTTACACTTGACTAATCCATAACATGAGGCTTATAACACCAAATCTGTCTCTCGCTCTCCCTCCCTCTGTCTTTCACTCACGCAGACACACACACACCACCACCACCACCATCAACTTTGCTAAAATGTTAATGAAAAACATTGACCAGGCAGCTGCAATTGAGCAGCAACGTCCATCCAACTCTTTTCACGGTTGTTGTGGTCGTGATAATTTTGTGAGGCCACATTGAAAAGGCTGAGGTGAGCTTGCTAAAGTTCTGCAAGTTGTGCCTCCATCGCTTGTGTCCAGATCACACGCTGCACTGCTGTGCTGCTCTGTCTTTATCACTTCCGTTTCTGTGTTTGTGCGTGCGCAGTGTGAGAGGCTGTGTTGACACCCTCACGAGGGGCGACAGGAATTCAAATAAGTTTGATTTTCTTGCAACCATCCGACTCTGATTGGGAGCTGGTTGTGAGGTGTTAATTGCTTCTCGTTACCCCATGTATAGTGGACGATGACACACGATTAAGGCGAAACTTGGGCCAATCCCCAAAATGGACACATGACTGAAAAATCGGCTCAAAATTGCCCAAAAATTGCACAGTATATACCCAACTTTAGAATGTTGGTGGTTAGCACTGTTCTCTAATCAAAATTTTGGACTACCAATTACTAATATTTCATTATCTTTTATAGGTGTAATTTCCCCAGCTCCCAGCCCTCCAGCTAGTCAAAGAGACCCAGGCAGACTGAAGGAACAAGACACAGAGGTGGATGAAAGTAGGTTTTAATATAGAGAAAATTGTTGCAAGTAACATTTGTTTGCAGCCCTATTTTACAGCCTGTGTCTACGTGGTAGACCTGTGCAATCTTCTGCAGTCCAATAACACGGTCATGCCATAACATCTTATTTTACCTATAACCGTGAATACATGAGCTCAGTTAAGACAATAAAGACCATGAATTGACAATGAATAGGACTGATTATATTGATGGTGTTCCTGTTTTGTCCTTTCTGTTTACAGTACAACAGCAGAACACATTTTTGGTTTCCAATGTATCTTTTCATAAATGAAAACATTATGTTAGGTTGAAATGGTGAGCAGATATTCAAATCACAAATATATTTACATTTATTGCATTTATTTGTGCCACGGATAGTTTGATCCACTGAGATTTTATTTTTGATGTAGTGTATAACTTGTGGTCACAAGCACCATCTATATAATCAAGCAACAGTTTTGGACAGAAATTCAGCATCATGGCAGTGGTATGTTTAGAATAAATCTTGGCTTGATCATTTCAGTAAATGTGTTACTCCTAAACAAATCTGTAAATGCTTATTAAACATGTTTCCCACTTGCTCTGTGACCTTAAGGTTGCATTTAGTTTTTGGCTTCATGAGACGATTAGCTTCCAGGTGAAAAGGGATGTTACTTTGAATCCCTGTTTGTACAAACAGCTTTTCCAGTTCAGGAGAGAACATGTAGAATTCCTTACTAGAGGACCTCAGTCTGAATCCTGACTGGCACATCTTAAATTTAAATGGGCACTGGTTTTAAAATACGATTAGTCTTCTAGTCATGATCTACTGCTTGTTGTTTTTTGGCACATTGTTAGTGTTGTGTATTTTAAAGCTCATGACAATGGAAATTAGCTTAGGTTATACATTTTACAGTAATTTCATTTTAAAGACTTCTGTCTTTATACAAATTTCCACATAAAATTGCATCATTTCAATATTTCTTACATTGCAGACAATAATGTGGTCTTCGCAAGCAGTGATGATGGCTGTTCTGATAGTGGTGGTAAGTGTTACCTGCTCACTAGTAGAGCCGTTGGTATACTGTCTCATGAATAAGCTGCATTTATGATAAACTGCTAGAGTTATGTATGTGACATTGACTAATATAAGACACTGATGTTAGCCTGTTAGCTCTAGTTCCTAATGGTTAAAAGGAAATGGGTGGCATGTTATAGCCAAATAAACACACTGTTGGCCAACTTCAGTGCTCAGTAATCTATACAAAAGATAACACTTGATCATGTACACTCTCTCTATAGTGAGCTCCTTTATTACAGCAAGAAATAGACTGAAAAACACATGAAATCTGCGAGTTTATCACCACAACCCAGATTCTAATTTTTGTTACATTTGTCAAATGTAGTTTTATACAAATGCCACCTTGTAATGGCTGTGCAGTGGGGGTTTTCCTTTTGCTTTTTAATTTATCCTAAATAAAAGAAGAGTAATACCATTTACATACTCTTGATGGCTAATATTTGACATCTGGTGTCAGTCACAGGTGAAAGTCCCATAGCAGCTACTCAGAGTGATCCTCAGGGAAATGAGGAGGAGGAGAAAGGAGGAGGCAGTGAGATGGATGAAGGTCAGATTTTCCAGATTTATTCAATAGAAAGGAAAAAATCAGTGAATTAGGACGATGTGGCACATTAATTTATTTATTTTTATTTTTTAAAGACGATAGTTCTCAGCATTTCGCAGATGTAAATGGTGAGTTTAAGCATTTGTCTGAAATGTAGTAACACTGTTGTGTATTCTAATTAAATTCTATTCAAGTAAAATCTGCATTGTATAATAACAGCTACCATTTTTTTTATCTGTTTCTGTTTTAGAAGAGACCAAAGAAGTAACACTCGCCGTGAGAAAAGGGGAAAACCAAATGGCCAAAGCAAAGGGTGAGATGTTTCAGCTTAAATGTATTTGATATTTCTGTTTGCAGTATATGAATCAGGTTGTAGACATGAATTTATTTCCTTATAGTCTTGCTCTTTGTGGCAGAATATATGCCTACACAAACACAAAACTCTTGATAATATTGATCCAGAATTATTTGTTGGTAATTAGAAAAATTATTGAAAATGTTTAAGTATTGCTTACAGTAAGTTGAAGAGGAGATTCAGAGGGTGGAGATGGGTGTCAGGGGTGATGTGTTATAAAAGGAAAGCAGCAAGAGGGAAAGAAGGTTTACAAAATGGTAGTGAGAAAGCTATGACGATTTTCATTGGAATGACCAGGATGGACAGGATTAGAAATGACTACATCATAGGGACAGCTCAGGTCAGAGGTTGGAGACAAAGAGAGACAAGGCTGAGATGGTTTGGACATGTGCAGAGGAGGCTGCCAAGGATGTTGATGATGAACTGCCAGCAGGACGAGAAAGGAAGACCTCAGAGGAGGTTCATGGATGTGAAGGAGGACAGGCAGAAGGTTGGTTGACAGAGGAGGATGCTGGTATAGAGGAGGTTGAGGAGATGATCCGCTGTGATGACCCCTAAAGAGTTCAGCTGAAAGAATGATTGCTTCACTTTTATTGTTACATTTATGATTGTTAGGCTACCTATTCTGGTGAGTGACTAGTTTAACCTGCTGTGTTGCGTGAGTTCACACTTTGCAAGAACAGCACTACAAAACACATGGCAGGGTTCTGCAGGTCATTTCACAAGTCTGGAATTAAAAAAAAAATGCAGGCTGAAATGTCTTGTTATATTATCATAGAAAATACCTGTTTAAGGTCCTATGATTTACCAATTAAAGACAACTACTTTATCTCATGTTATTTTTTTTTTACAATGCGTATTTTAGTTTCCACCAATTACACACACAGATGTTGTGTTTTAAATCAAAATTTGTAAAGTGAACTAGATTGACAGTATGGACCATCATTTTCAGTGAGAGGTTTGTGAAAAGACAGCAAGAAACGGCAAGTACAAGCAACAAAGCTCATCGAGTAGACTACATTAGGCTTCAAACTTTCCTTTTTGCTAAAGCATATATTTCAGGCTGGACCAGGTGACCCTGAATCCTCCCTTAGTTATGCTGCAGTCTGTTTTAATATCTTCATATTTGCCTAATACTATACTTTTATCTTTGAAAAATCAGCTTCTGTTTCCAGTACGCTTTTCAATAATCATTAGTGAACAGATGCTCACAATGCACCCCTTTCATGCGACCATGCAGGTTAAGCTTTTTGTGACCACTTATCCAGATCGCCACTTTCAGGTTAAGTGAATCCAGATTATGGAAAGATAGCCTTGATGGTTGAATGTGCTTTGTAGTACAGGCCTTATGACTAATGATAGACAAAACTTAATTCTGCTCTTTGGTATTGTATCTGTGCGCCAGTCGCAAAACTGTGACAGTTTGTCAAATAAAACGCATAAATTCAGATAAAATGAAAAGATCATGTCAATCAGTTATGTTTGGTTCTGAATCATGATCTAGGTAATTTGTTACATTGTCAAGGATATTAGCAATTGTATTTCATAATAAAAAAAAAAATTGACTTAAAATATGTGATGTCACTTAACTAGATTAGGACTACTACCAACAGCACAGGTTTTTTTATTACTAGTACATCAGAAATATTTGCCTTATTTAAAACAATAGCAAATTATTAAGTCTGACAGTTTTTTTTTTACAAGAATATTGTTATGATGAATGATTTTAACAGGAATAATAACTAGTTATCATCTTATTTTAAAAGGCTAGATGCAACATGTACCTTTGAAAACAAAATGTATAAAGTAAATGGCTGCTGTTTCACTCTGTAGGTATATTACTCAATAACTGATCTCATGTTTCTGTGAACTCAAAATACTTAATTTAAAGTGCTTACTACATATCTTGGGTACAAATGTTGAGTAAATTGTTGAACCTACAGTTTGGTTTGGCATTTTCTGTAAATATACACAAGCAGAACCCCTTTCAAAACAAACAAAACAAAAAAACTACGGTTACATACATGTTGTAAAGTTAACAGTCCATGTTGTCTTTTGTGTTATTTGTAGAGATCCCCCGTGCGAAGGTCAAGAAGCCATGGAGTGAAGCAGAGAAGACGGCAGTGCAAAGACGGCTGGGAAAATTTGTCGCAGAGCGTAAAGTTCCAAAAAAGAACACTGCATGAAATGCTTAGAAGCGGAAAAAGACCTAGCTAATCGCTCATGGAAAGATGTTAAAAACTTTGTGTACAACACGATTGTCACTCTGAATCGAAGGTCTGCTTGTAAAAAACTCTTCTAAAATAAGTTTACCTTGATAATGTTAAGACATTATTTAAGATTTAATTTTGTCTTCTCATGCTTGGTTTGTGACTGACTTGACGGCTTTGGTAGCAACTGCGAGTCTGATTGTAATTTGATTGGCTTATGTTTTGGAGTGGTGAACTGTGAGGGCGATGAAAATACCTTTACCTGGTGTCTTTTGAGGTAACCCGTTTTGGATTTTAAGTTCTAGGTTTTTGCCCAGGATGTTTTGGTTCATTTATTTTATAATCTGTTAAAGTACATTAGGCATCTAAGTTGTTCACCTTCTTAATGGCTTAATGGTTAGAACACATCCTAAAGTGTCCACCTTTGCTCAGTGCTGATGTTCATTGGCGAAAAGTTTAATTTGGTTTTAATTATGTAGGAAGCAGGAAGGTCATACTGGTACAGTTGTAGCCATCCTAAGCTTTACTGATTTTCTTTTGGCAAAAGTCAAAACAAACTGATCAAAGTTATTGATCACTATTTTAGTTGTAAGTCATTAGACTTAATAGTTGTCTTCATTGTTATAATAGCAATTATTATTCCTCTGGAAGGATGTTACATTGTGAAATAAACTGAATTTGCTCTTGTTGCAGCATTGTGGGAATTTCCTTGGTAATTATTAATAAAATCTACAGCAGTATTTGAAATGTAATACTACCTTTTTTGTTATGTAGGTTGTATTGATAGATTATCAGAACTTTTTAGTTATTCTATTTATGTATAAAGTTGAGACTGTTTAACTTAACATTATTTGGTTGCACTAAAATAGAAAATGTCAAGGAGTAAATGCAAACAGAAAAAAAACATATAGACAGAAACGAACACCAAAGCACCCCCTGGTGGAAAATCACCTGAATAGCACTCAATGACAAGGTCCTCATTCTGATAGTAGAATGAGATTTTTTTTTACTTGAGTGTTTTAAGATTTTGAGGTGATTTTTGGTGTCAGAGAGCCACCCAGTGTTCAAAAGTGGCAAAGGTTTGTCTGCAAGTGTAGCAGAAATGGTGGTCCTCACTTTGATAGTGCACTTACCCGGTCCTCAGTCGTTATGCAAGACAGGAATGTGTGTGCGTGTGTGTGTGTGCGTGTGTGTGCTGGATCCTTTCGCAGGTCAGGTCTGACTCGGGGGATCGAGCAGAGGCTGAACAGAGTGAAAAATGATGGAACGCCTGACAGCAGTGATTTCACCTCCGGGGAATCTGACTGGACACACACTCACAGCGTGTCTAAAATAATGGAATTCCACCTCGTCCCAAATGTGCCATTGCTCAGGATAGAGTTTCCTGGTGGGGAGAGTATCAGAATGCATTGTGGGAAACAGCAGGCACAGAAATGTGGGGAAGCTCTGGGTTGAGCTGGACGTGGGCTTTTTCACACGATACAAACAGGTGTCTGCTGACGCAACGACAGACAAACACTTTTACAGGAAACATCTATCAACCATGTGACTAACTCACCCTGCAGCCACAGCAGGAAACGAGGTCAGAGATCACGGCACAGCTAAAACTTCTTGACCTCTGAGCAATGAGTTTTCTACTAAGACACAGACCAGATCTGTGACTGCAGTGCATCGAGATAACAATAAAGCATGGAGACCGTCTGCTATCAGTGCAACTGAATGAGCTCAGGTTGGCAATTACAAGCGATCTGTCAGGCTGTGATTAACGGTGATAAACCAGCTAAAGCTGAAATCAGTTTACAGGACGACAACTGAACCACCAAATGACATACAGGCTCAACAACCTTGCTTCTGTATAGGAAAATAAGCAGAATAGAGTCCTCCACTGCAGACGAGTCACACGAGTCAGTAATCACGATGGGTTGCAGTGTGTTGGCATTTATACATTAGACGGCAATATTTGTATACCGTGAGCCCCGGGACGCATGGATCGGGTCTGTGTAGGTAGGAGCGCCCCGCCTGCAGGCGTGCTTTAGGACGTTCCCACAAACAGTCCAACCCACCGCTCTGGCAGCTCTGGCAGCTCTGGCAGACGGAGGTTTATTTTGACAACCTTACTTTCACTGCACATTTGGAAGCTGATATCCAAAACACAAACACACACCGATCTCCTCCAATAACGAATGCTGCTGTGTTTTATTATTACAGTTTGGAGCAGATTCCATGTCTGCCTCATTACTTGGAGCTTTAAGATGTTTACACTGCGCAAATATTTCCCCTCAATCATCATCAGCCGTCCTCCGAGCTCTGTGTGTTTGTAACTGGAGGACAGAGATTAGTTTAAGTCGTTCCCAGGGATTTATAAAGTATACATGTAAGCACGAACACATCATGTCCACCTGCAGGAGTCTGCCTTCATCATAGTTCTTGATTCATTCTGCACTGAAACCATTTTTCACTGTTTTACACGCTGCACAGACCTGAGGAACGAGTGAACGCTCTGCTGTGAAGCCTCAGGCTCAGTGATGGTCATTAACACACACAAACACTCAGATCTCTGCACTTTGCTCACTCATGATGTTGTCAGTATGGACTGTATATAA